TTTAGACAAGTTACTTAACATCCCTTAGTCTGTCTTGGAGAAATGGACAGTTAATTTAAATCAGATTTTTAAACTTTTTATTTTCATGCTAATGTTATAAATCGAATTGATAAAAGCTGAGCTGCATACAATCCCATCTTGTACTTGGCTCTCTCCATCTCTGATTGCACTCCCTGAACACAGTTTAAAAATTAAAGTATTAGGTAACCTGAAAGCTTCTTTTTGTTCTTAAATTTACTGTTTTCATGACTGGAAGCAGCTAGATTCCTAGTCTTCTACTTGTCCATGTCCCTTACAGTATCTTCTGGTATAAAAGAACCCTAGACATGGACTCAGAGGAGCTGGGTAGAGCCCTGCTGCACCATCCAATTATCTTTCGCCCTCTAAATTGAGATGCTTTATCTCTGTAAGCCTCTATTTCCTTATATTTAAAATGAATATAGTAACCCTTCTCAGGAAAGAGTGCTTTGTAAACTGTAAAAGACTAAATAAACATACAGTTTCATTAACATTATCTCCTGTGCACATCGCCTTCTCCATGGGAAGATGGCTTTATCCTTAGAATTAAATAACAATATGGGTTGAGCTGCTCTTTGGCAAACTTGCCTAAGAATAGAGATGATATCTATCATATTTATACTTCATCTTTCCTGTTAAGCTGAAGCTAAGTCCACACAGGCATTGTGAGCTATTAACACAGCAAATAATTAAACTGAGGAGACACTGTTGTTAAGTTCAAAGGGAAGAATTGTCCCTGTAATGTGACCTTGATATTAACAACCCAGCCATATTTCTCCCTCTGTACAAAGCCAAGCTCCAGTAATAATTAGTTATTTATGGAGTGCTTATTACATGCTAGACACTATTTTTCATTTGTTCCTTCACTTGTGTTTTGTGGGGTTTCTTTGTTTGTTTGAGGCAGTCTCATTATGTCGTCCAGGCTGTCCTCAGACTCATAGTGATCCTCCTGACTCAGCTTCTTGTGTGCTGGGATTACAGGTGTGGGCCACTACACCCAGATTTAGACACTTTTCTGAATATTTTACATAAGTTATCTCATTTAAATATCACAAGGACTATCTGTACTGATGTTAGCTCTATTATACAGTGAGAAATAACATATAAAATAGAGTTTCAGTCCTATTTTGTAGTTTAGAAAGGCTAATTTGCTGTGGTACATACATTGGTAAGTGGAAGAGTCTGAATTCTGAATCCAAAACTCTGAAATAATTAGTTCTGCATCTCCCAGTTGGAAGAAGTCATTTTTCTCATTCAGTTTGAGACCCCCAAAGCCTTATTCCTCCTTATCTTTACAGGGACTTAGCCCCATTTCTCCGTTTTTATTATTATTTTTACTTTTTCCTCCATTCAAAAATGCTTCATTCATTTTCATAAAACTCAGAGGTGGCAAGTACCTATTAGTCATTGATTCCCCTCCCTCAACTTGTCCTCCACAGCATGGTGTCTACTCAAAGAGTTGCAGAGAGTAAAGCCAAATCTCTTCCCTTGGGGAATGAGCCCTGTAACTAATTCCTCTCTGTCAGTAAGATTTTCCTCTTATGCTTATTCTCCTCTTTAGTTTTCTATTTTACCCAATTTTTTCTCTCTGTGGGCTGTACACTTCAGCTCTTGAGATCACATGTCTAAGCCTGCACAAGCTGAGCTGCTTCTCCTCACATGATGGCCAGAATGGGTTGTCTGCTCTTTTTCTTTCTTTCTTTCTCTCTTTCTTTCTTTCTTCCTTTCTTTTTTTCTTTCTTTCTGTGCCAGGGATCGAACTCAGGACCTTGTGCTTGCAAGGCAGGCGGTGGAACCAGTGAGCTAAACCCCCTCTCTTTCTTTCTTTCTTTCTTTCTTTCTTTCTTTCTTTCTTTCTTTCTTTCTTTTTGTTTTTTTGTATGACTTTCTTACTAGCATGTAGAAGATGCTTTCTACACTGGAGAGAAGTGGAAGTGAGCTGCAGATGAATGCTGGGAAAGAAAGTAAGGAGGAAGAAGTATAAGCACAAGGCTTGAAATCCACCTACTCAACAAACCTTGGGCCCAATTTGGCTTTGACATTTCTCTTAAGTTTTGCTTCTCCACTGGCAGCAGAGGCATTTGCTATCTAACTAGGCATGGTTCCATGAGGATGCTGTGCCCTGAAATTGGTGCCAGGAATCACAGAAATAAGTGTACTGCACCAATACAAAGAAGACAATGTGCAGGCCGGGGATTTAACTCAGTGGTTTCACCGCCTGCTGGGCAAGTGCAAGGACCCGAGTTTGATCCCTGGTACCAAAAAAAAAAAAAAGAAGACAGTGTGGGACAAGGGAAATTATGTCAGCTTTAGGATTTGAAAAATCTAATTTAAATAATTGCTCTACTTTTTGCATAGCTACATAGCATTGGTTAATCATTAAACTTCCTGACCTTCAATTTACTCTCTTGATAAATAGGGAAATAATACTATTATGGTCTATATCTAGATGTTCCTCAAAGCCTCATGCAATCACAGGTGGGGCTTTGGGGACATGATTTGATTATAGGGAGAGTATGGATGGTTTGCTATTGGGAGGTGGGGTCTGGTTGGAAGGGTCTCTGGGGGCATGCCCTGGAAGGACTTATCTCATTTTCCTTTCAGTTCCTCCTTTAACTTTTTCTGCTTCTTGGCCCACAATGCCACAAGCCAATTTTCCTCGGCCATAACCCTGTGCTATGTTGTCCAGCCTTGGACCCAGTTGACTAGGGACTGAAACCTCTACAAACTATGAGCCAAAATAAACTTCTCCTTTAAGTGGTGGTTGTTGGAGATTGTGTCTCAGAGATGAAAAAAAATACCTACCTTAGGAATTTCTGTAAGGATTGTAGACAATGGCCTGATACATAAACAACACTAAATCAATAAGAGCTATTATTTTTCAAGGTCTTAATTCTAAACCACTTGCCTTAATCACTTTCTCATAACCATGTATCAATTAATCTCTAGCCAACTGTACCTCTTATGCTCTCATTCTCATTGTGCTGCAGATCATCTTATTGCATTCTCATATTCTAGCTTCAACTGCAGCAACAACAATTATTCCCAGTTTCCTACTGCCTAGATGTCAGGTATTAGCTTTCAGATCTACATCAGCATTAATTTTGCTTTTCAATTTTCACTTTGCAGTGAACCTTACCACTTATGTGTTGAAACAGATACTAACCAATTTCCCATTTCTTATAGGCTGTATATGAATGTTGACAATTTCCTGTTTGTATCATGGGCATGGGTACTGGCAATAATATCTTAATGTATAAACAAACCTTAACTTGAACAAAATATCTAATTAAAACACTTTTTTTCAAGCCAATGCATGTGACCATTCTTGACCAAAAAGATACACTACTTATCTCTTAAATGATTGAAATTTATTCGTTTAACATATACTTACTGAGAGTCTACAATGCACAAAAGACCTTGTAGGTGCTTGACTACACTGGCTAGAATGGCAGACATGGGATCATTAAAACAAATCCTTTTTATGGATGGAAACAAAGTCTTTGTAAATAGGGAGGGATGGAGGGGTTGAAGGGAAGGCAGGGGAAGGGGGAAAAATAAGAACCAAGAGAGATTATGTAAAGGTGCAAATTTCCAATGATGAATGTCATTATCATTGGCCTAAAATGTACCAATAAAAAAAATCCCTTCTTTCACGTAGCTTCCATTGTAGTGGAAAATGTAATAAACAAGTCAACGTGAATAAAGAAAATAATTTGAAAATAATCATAACTTTGATAAAGAAAACAAACAAAATGATTAGAGAGGGTATTTTATTGTTTTTTGGGGGGTTACTGGGGATTAAACTCAGGACCTTGCACTTGCGAGCCAGGCACAGCACCACTGAGCTAAATTCCCGGCCCCAGAGAGGGTATTTTATTTGTTTTTTTAGATTTATTTTTAACTTAATTTAAAAAGTAATAGATGTATATTGTGTGTCAGCCTTCTGTCATGATGACAAAATACCCGAGATTAACAAGAGAAAAAAATTTTGAAATAAAAGGATAAAATGTTTATCTTGTCTCCTGATTCCATAGGTTTTAGTCCATGGTCACTCAGTCCAGTTACTTTTAGGCTGGTGGCAAGGCAGAATATCATGGTGAAAGTATGTGGTGGAGGAAAGCTGCTCACATCATGTTGGCCAGGATACAGAGAAAGATCTAACAAAGACCTTCCCACAAACTCATTAAGCTATGAATTTACAAATGGGTTGATCCATTCATGAAATCAGATCCCCATAATAGAATCACTTTCCAAAACCTCCCTCTAAACATTACTGCAGAGGGGATCAAGCCTTCAACACATGAGCTGTTGGAGATATTTAAGATCCAAACTATAACACACAGAATTTTAAAAGCTATATCTAAAAGCCGCCTCCAAAAATAAAAGGGTAATGCACAGGAAGAGGAGAGGAAGTCACCTCTGAGAAGGTGAGAACACAGCTGAGACCTGAATGATGAGGAAGCAGTTATGAAATGGGCTGGGGAAAATCTTATCAGGTAGAGGGAACAGCAATCCAAAGGCTTTGAGTGCAAGGGAGCATGAAATAGGAGAAAAGCACAAAGTAGTTGAACTGAACTGAACAAAAGGATGAGAAATAGAAAGTGAGATTATAGAGGCAGACAGAGGCAGATTATATAGGGTCTTATTGGATATGGGAAAACTGTCTATGTTATAGGTATAGCGAGAGACTATGAAAAAGACTGGATTAAGCAAGAGAGAGATATGGGCTAATTTATGAGTTTAAAAGATGACTATCTGCTGAATGGAGGATGGAGAATAGAGGAGGAGCAGTGAAAACAGGAGTAGAGGGGAGAAGAAATGAAAGTCAAAGAAAAACACTAAGAGGTATGAGAAAAGAATGATAAAGGGCAGAAAGAGGAAAAAAAGAGACATATGTATACAAAGGAACAGAAAAATAGGCAGTGAAAGAGCAGAAGAGAAAGCAAAAGCAAAAGAACAAGAGAGGAACATACTCGTGGTGATTAGTTAATTTATTTTATTTATACCCTGCAGTTCACTGTGGGCTTTAAGTGTTGTTTCTTCTCACTACTGTGCTTTAAAAGATAAACTAACTGTTTAATCGCTTCCCACAGCCATTTGATTTCTCTTGATTTTCAGCCTTCCTTCCACGGCACTGATAGAGTTGTTCCTCCTGTCTTCAAGGGATTGGTTCCAGGACCCCTGAGGATAGCAAAATTCATGTATGCTCAAGTCTCTTATAGAAAATGACAAAGTATTTGCAAGTAACCTACACACATGCTCCCATATACTTTAAATTATCTCCCAATTACTTATAATATTTAATACAATGAAGTGCTATGTAAATAGTTGTTATACTATATTATTTAGGGTATAAAGACAAAAGAGGAACTTATATTACTTATATTTAGTATAAGTAAATTTTTTTGAACATTTTCAATCTGTGGTTGGTTGAATCTCTAAGGATATGAAATCCATGGACTTGGAGCACTGACTCCAGTCACCCCACCAAACCTTTCCTTAAGCTGCTCTGGTAGTGACTGGAATATTATCATGAGGCCCAAAAGAATCAAGCTAGTTTCCAGAAATCCTACAGACCTGTAATTATCTAGCACCATCAAGGCTAACAAAGCAGAGGAACATCTTAGTACTCTTAGGACCTACAGTAATTTATATTCACTAGGTCATTTCCTCATGTGCAAAAAGTGCTTCAAAAGTAATTGAAAACCATTCTCTCTAAAATGTTTAAACATTTCCCATAGAACATTATTTAGCTTTTCCAACATAAAGTTCTTAGATTAATTTCTGATGTATCCCTTCTACATAAGAATTGAGGTAACACGGTGTTTGATGTTGCTTTAGAACTAAGCTCTTTATTTTTTTTAGCAGATTCTTATGATGATATTTTTATTATTATAATGATATTTTTATATGCTCATTCTTGTAACTGTCCTTTTCTGGGGTGATAGGTCTGTTGCCTTTTTGGAAGCTCCCTGAGCTAAGTTCATTACCAAATTGTAGTATCACCTAAGCTATAAATACCATACCACCCACCCTATAGTCTCTTTCCAAGACTACCTTCCCTGATAGGTGTAAAGCAGAAATATTAAGACACACTGATACAAAGAAACCAAAGAGGTCTAGTTTTTTTGAAAGCCAAAGATGCAGGTATTTGTTGTAATAAAAGTGAAAAATATTCATCATTGTCTATATTCCAGTACAACTAAAAGGGTGAGGGGACTCATTTCAATATCAACTTGCTGACAGTCCTCCTCTCTGGCTATACACCCTCTGTACCAGGGATTGAACTCAGGACCTTGGGCTTGTGAGGCAGGTGGCGGAACCACTGAGCTAAATCCCCAGCCCTGGATCTCTTAAAGTAATATTAGAACTTACATTCTGCACAAAAACTAGCTTGACTCATCTTGTCTTTTTTGAAAAAGTTAGAATTATGTATTATGTTTGTACAGACAACTTGATTCTTACAATTAGGTTTGCATATCAAGAGATTGTGAAAAATCTTTCTTTTCAGCTCGAACAAGAGGCTGGAGAATATATATATTGACTTTTGTCTTGGTGTCTGTCAGTCAAAATTAAGAATTCTATTCACCAGAAAAGAATAATGTCCTTATAGTTTGAATTGCCAACTTCAGAGAAATAATACACGGGGTCTCAAGTATTGTGACTGTCTTAGTTTTCTGACACCCCACAATTTAAAGGAGGAGAGGTTTATTTTGGCTCATGATTTTCAGAGGATTCAGTCCATAGTCACCTGATTCCAAGGCAGGAAAGGCATATGGGAAGGATATGGCAAAAGAAAGCTGCCCACTTCATGGTGGTCAGGAAGCAGAGTGAAAGGAGGAGCTGGGGAGGGAGATGCGCACTTCCAGGCCACACCTTTAGAGACCCACCTCTTCTGACCAGGCAAGCCAGCTATGAAATCATCAGTGGATGAATCCACCCATGAGTATGACACCTTCCACGATCCCATCACTTTTCAAAAGCCCCACCTCTGAACAAATGATGCTCTTGGGGGACATTTTAGATCTAAAGTATAACAATGATCATTTCATTTGTAGGAAAATGGAGGCACCTTGAGACCATTAATGTTAAGTGAAATAAATCAGACAAACAAGCTTAAATATCATACAATTTCTCTTATATGACAGTCCCAATGTATAAATAAACTAAAGAACAAAATAAATACAGGTAATAGGAAAGAGGTAAACATATCTTTTGTGAAAGGGAAGATAACAGAGAGATGGTGGGAGGAGGAGGGAGGAAAGGAGAAGAGGATGAGAAAAGAATTAAAATGTGTTATGTACAATGTAGCAATTCCCCATGATGAATATAATTATGTATTGCAAACATGTATTTAAAAATAAAAATTTTTTAAATGACGTATTTACTCTTTTCTCTATTTACTCAACCAAAATGGGCTCTTCCTTACAAAATAACATCTACCTCAACACCAACAGAGAAATTAACTATAATATTCCATCTATTTTTTGATCATAGACTTTCCCTTGTTTTCCCCTAGGACTTCTACATGATTCTTTTTAACAGTTTTACATTTCAAATGGAGAATTTTAAGGTAGATTTATCATTTTTACTTATTACATCTATTGCAGTTTGAAAAGCTGGAATGCACTATTGAGATTTTTTTGCTCCTTTCTCTCCTCTCTTCCTTTCTGACATTCAAGATTTGGCAATATACATGAGAAAATATAGACAGTGCTAGGGGTGATTGAAAAATATGGTAAATGTTTAAATTTTTTTTAAAAACTTACTACAGTAAATATACATTGTCAAGAACAAAGGAATAAGTGTGTTTGAAGCAAGAGAGTATTTTGAGAGAGATTAATGGCAATATATCTTTTACTGCAATAAAAATTTTAATTTAAACATTCATCATATTTTATGATCATTCTGTGTTGATCAAGCATCTTTGGCAATTTCTGTCAAATAAAATCAGTACAGTGTGTTCTCATCTATCTTATTCACTGGATATGGCATGACTTCTAGCTCTTCCTCAAAGTCAAAATGATCATGAAAAGTAAACATTTGAATCTAATCAAGTATTGAAGCACCCATAACAGTGCATCTAAAGACTCATAAAAGAAGGCTTTTAGAACTGCTTCAGAAAGTGACAAGAATAATGAGACAAGTGTGTTTGAAGTAAGGCAGAGAGTTTTGGGAGGATTAATGGCAGTGTAATAAATTTTTGACTGTAATAAATTTTTTAAAATTAAGTAGCCCTGACTTTGTGATCTTGATCTAGTTATTCAACTTTTCTGCTAGTCTAGTTATTTGACCTTTCAAATTTTGATTCTTAAAGGTAGTAACACTATCTTGGAATGCTATGGACTGTTAGGAAGAACAAAAGAGATGGCAAATGTCTTGAGCCCAGTGGATAACAACTTGATTATGCAAGTAAAATATATATATGTATCTAGTTTTTAGTATATGGGAGTTAGAAACTACTTTCTTTTTTTTTTTTTTTTGTACCAAGGATTGATCTCAGGACCTCACGCTTGCCAGGCAGGCACTGTGCTGCTGAGCTACATCCCCAGCCCTTTTCCATATATTCTTAATAAGAAGAATTTATTATGGTATTAGTTAAAAATATGATTTCTCTGGTCTTATCCTAGTCCTCATGAATCAGAAAGTCCAAGTCTTGGAAGCTAAGGAACTATATTTTTAACAATATTCTTTGTGATTCACATCATCAGAAAAGTTGTGAAAATATTGATATAGACAATCAGTGTCTGTTATATTCTATAAGTAAAATGCAAAATAAAATGACATTATTTTAATAATTTAATCTTTAATATATACAGCTTCATTATGCTCTTAGTCAAATTATCCAGTTGAGTATTTTAATGACATTTATACCAAATATTTAAAAATTTAGTGCATCTGTCTTTTTTTTCCCATAGGTTTCACAAAATAGTTGAACTTCATTCTCATTAGTGAATAGGAAAGAACTATTTTTGGCTTTAACTGACAATATCAGCAGAGTAATAGCCAAGAATACTGTAAAGTACTTTGGTAATATATAGTGCTACATAAATGTTTATTATAATTATTAACTGTAATAATTATAATAATAATGACCTATACCTACAAGACTTGACTTGTGAGTTAACCGGCTAGCTGCATTTTAATATGTGGTTAGCAAATTTCTCTAAGCTTCATGGAGACAAAACTTGAAATATTATGTATAAGCACAGCACAAAAATCCCTTCTTGCTTGTGTCCGAAGTGTCTTTAATTCTTTTTTTCTCAGATAGACCTTTAACTTAATGCACATTTTAGGCTTTGTTTTGCAATATGTTTACATACCTTAGCATTTTAACTGTTTGGCATCCAGATATTCATTTTATGTTTCATTTAAAGAGGCATTGTCGATGGTGATTCTTCTCTTTGCGTGTTACATGTGGCAGGGACCCAGAAGAGTGAGAAAATGAAGAGGAAAGGGTAGGAGAAGGAGTGGATAGATCAGCGTAACCACCAGCAAGTTTTTTTATGTGAATGACAATTCAACTAGGGACATTTACTGAGCCTCTACTAGGAGGAAGCTACTGTTCTAATGGCCTGAACATTGCTAACTTCTGTTGCTTCACTTGTTTTCTGTTTTGTCTTTGAGCCCTGTGATCAGCTAGGAGCATGACAATTGTTAGTGACAAGTAGATACTTTTCAGTTAAAAAGAGCCAAGCAGCTATCGGTTTCCCTGGGCCCAAACACCACAGGGTGGTTGATGCTCTGTTTCAGTACTGAGTATGAGTCTTCTATTTTAATTTTATGCCTATCTCATGTCAATGCAACACAGAAAACTGTGTTGCTGTCGTCCATTAGAGTTAATTTAAGATGAATGCTTTAGAGCTGTTAAAGCAGACATTAGATACTATCTGGAATCTAGATTATGCCACATGTTTCATATTATGTTTTATATTTTATATATACATTCATTTGTTGTGTGTTACTGGGGATTGAACCTAGGACCTTGACACTGAGCTGTATCAGTACTCCTTTTAAAATTTTTCAAAACAAGGTCTTGCCAGGTTGTCTAGTCTGGACTCAAATTTGAGATCTTTCTGCATCAGCCTCCCAGAGCACTGGAATTACAGGCATGTGCCATCACACATGGATTTTATATTATTTTTTGTTTCCTATTAAAATTATATTTTTCTTTAGTTAGGACCTTTCTCAATTTTTTCCCCATAACATAATGCCTAGGACAAAACTATACACAAAGAGTTATTCAAATTTTGATTTTATGAATAAATGCATACTACTTGATTAATTGCACTATAGGACTTCTTAGCGACCACTTCATTTCACATTCTACAAATGATATTCATGAAAATTTCTATAACTTAAAATTTTGGTATGTAGTATTTTTTTGGAAGATCTGAAACTACCAGCCATGTGAAATCTAAATATGGTCACTAATAATGATCAACTGTATTCCCAATTAATTAGATTTCTTTTATTCTCATTCCAGAAAAATTATTCTCTTCCAGTATACAAGAGTTTGAAATTTTAAAAACTAGTCACTTTGAACTGTATTGTGTGTATATTCTATATAACTGTCATGCATTTGTTTACATTTTCTTTGGAATTCTTTTTACTTTTTCATTGTTAACATTTTGGTGTACAGTCTTCCAAACTTGCTTTTATGCATGAAAGGTGAATGAAAGTTTATATTCTCTTGTAATTTACTTCTTAAGTCTAATATCTTTTGTAAAGATGCTGACTTTTTTTGTTGGTTTTTTTTTTTTTTTTTTAAGGGAAAGGTTTATTTTTGTTTTGTTTGGTATCAGGGATCAAACTCGGGACCTTGCACCGGCGAGACAGGTGGCAGCACCACTGAGCTAAATCCCCAGTCCTAAAGATGCTGACTTTTGAGGGAATGGGTGGCTGATGAGAGCAAGGGGTAGACACAGGGCAGTGTTTAAGGGGAAACTACATTTGATCTGGAGTTTAGAATTATTCTTTATTTTTATGAATAAGCTAATACTACTTTCCATTTTGATTTAAGTCTCTTCTAGGGTACAGATAATATCTTTTGTATCAGCTTTTTTTCAGACTCTAGAATTCTAATCTTAGAAGTTTGTTTAAAAATGTGAAAAATCACCACCCTAAACCTCAGAGATTTTGATTTACTAGGTAACCAGATATTTGCAACTTTTGAGCAATCTGCATTCTCATGCGTATCCTAATCTCACTTTTGAGGACTCTTCCTTTGTGTACAGTTATAGGAAAAGTCACCTAGGCTTGGCCTTGGATTCCATGATTTGGAAGCTTTTTTTCAGAACTTTCAGTCTACAGTAGTGATGTGACAAGGTTGTAACTCAAGATATTAGCATTGCCAGCATGCAGACCACATCATCCCTGAAATACGATTTTTGTTGTGGTTACCTAAACTTTTCTGGCCCAGTCTCTCCAGTGAATTCTATAAACCTCTAATGTCCCTGTAGTGCATTCTTTCTTTTCCTAAGGTAGCCCAAATTGGATTCTGTTGTTTGTAACCCAGAACTATAATCAATATAGTGGACCTATATTAGGGTTTAGGAACACACATTTTATTTTATTTTATTTTATTTTTCTTAAATTCTTTTATTGGTACATTATTGCTTAAATTCTTTCATTGGTGCATTTTATGGTTACATTTGTTATTGGGTGCTTGTACCTGTACATGATGTATCTTGGTTCTTATTTTTTTCCCCATTACCTGTGCGACCTTCACCCCCTCCACCCTTCCCTATTTACATAGACTTTGTTTCCATTTTTTTCTTTTCTCATAATTTTTCCTTTCCCTTCTTTCCTTTCCCCTTCCCCTCCCACTTCCCCTACCCCTTTGGACCTTTTCTTCCTATTTCAAATTATTAATTATTCATTTTAATCATTTTAATCCTTATTTACACTTTCAGTTTCTTGTACCAGAGAAACTATTCGGCATTTATACATGTGTGTCCTATTTATTTCACTTAAGAGGATG